GCAAAAAGTTGTTAGCTACGGGGCTGAAGAAAACTGAGGAGCAGGAGAACCCCCCCCCCATGCTTCAATTACTGGGGCATCGCCAGCACACAAGTATGGACCAGCCATCTTGGAGGCAGCTGGCCCCGCCGTGCATGTAGAGCATTAAAAAAAAACCCAATAAAACTATTAATGAGGGAGAGGAGAGCTGAAGAGGATCCTAGCTGAACGTTGCTAGCGTTTTCCTCTGACGGGCACGAGAACACAGAGAATAGGACACTGTACCTTTAAGAGAAAAGGAAAGGAGGAAGTCACGTTGATGCCCTAAGAATGCACACAAACACACCTCACTGTTCATTAATATTTTTTTCACCAGTGATCATCAAAGTTTAACGTTAAACTCATCCCTGAGTTAAAACATCATTAAACCCATCCCTGAGTTAAAAAAAATTAAAATACTTTTTGGGGGAAATTTACCTGCTCACCACAGGACTTGAACTCACAACCCTTATATGATAAAGCACAATCCTTAACTTACTGAGCTAACTAGCTGCTTTGAATGAGAAGAAGAGAAAAGCAGACACAACACCTCCCCCGTGATTCTACAAGATAGAAAGGGAGGGGAGGGGGGAAATCCAGGCCCACACATGCAAGACTGACGCATTTGGGAGCAGGGAATCCCCCAGTCCTTTGTATTTACTGATTCCTTCTTATCTGTTTTAAAGTTTGCCTGAGTGGGAGGACATGTCCTCTTTTGTCTTTGGAGAAGGAGGGAAAGAAAACAGAATGGAAATGGGGGGACGGACGGACAGAGAGATCAGTGACTCCATGTCAAATAGTCTTCTTATTGTTCACTGCGAATCAGTGGTGGGGAGAGCAAAAGGTCCGGCACAAAACCACATCCAGATAACCCGGGGCAATGCTATGGTGACTGCGGAGTCAGCCCTGAATGAACATAAAACAATGTAGAAGGCCCCACGTAAACCGATGCACAAGGAGAGTGGGAGCGGCATGCAGTGCAGAGGGATATTTCTATTCAGACGTGACTGTGGTAAAACTGGGGGGGTGGGAAGATGAGTGTGGAATCTCCCAGCTGTCATTCCGCTGTTGCACGCACTGTGTGTATGCCTCCACTGCTACCATGGCCTCTCCCTCTGCTAAAATAGGTACAGCCACTTATGCTGACCATAATCCTATTTATCTTTTACTTAATCTGCAAAGGAGATCTGCAAATGACATGATCTTTAAATAACACATTTTACAGAACTTGCAAACTAAAGCTAGAAGGAGCCTGCGGCATTTTTTAAAAAGATGAACATGTCGCCAGAAATTTCACTTGTTGTAGGTTGGGAGGTTAGGAAGGTCTTCTTCAGGGGCGTGGCGCTGAGTGCTTCTGTTTCTGCTTATCTCAAGAATAAAACAAGAAGATTGTGTAAAATTAAACATCTTTGGTTTTATCTTGTGTGCATTTGGACTCTGCGTGGAAACATTCCTTTGTGCTGTAGGGGTCTTTGGTCCTGTCCTGTTTACATTGTTCCTTTCTCTCCTTCACATATAGACCTTCATATATTTGATGCAGAGTCTACAAAATCTAATGTCACAACAACACTGGCAGTCTTTAAGTTGCTTTATCATTGTTTCCATCGCAACACATGAACATGGCTGCTCCCAGGGGGTCCAGCATGCTCACTGTAATGTTTCTGTCACTTTTCAGCTGGGCAAAGATGGCTGCATTTCCAAGCTGATCCCTACAAAAGCTTTCCGCCTTTACGCGAATCTGGGCAGAGATCGTTATTCCTTTGTGTCGCTTCAAGTGAACGCGGTCGTGACGGAGAACGGAACAGGTAATAACCATTAAGTAGTAGCAGGTTGTAATATGGCACAGGCGACAGAGGTCTTGTGAAAGACCTCACGTCCAGCTACTCCTTTGTATAAAAATTCATTTTAAAAAATGAATATCGGATTGTATTTCTTTTCTTTTTTTATAATAGATTTATTAGATTTTCAAAGATAATAAACACATACACCACAAACATATAGACCAAAGACACAAACAAACTTACAAACATAGACTAGGAATGTTTTCTATACAGTAACATAGCCAGGCAAAGAAAACAACAACAACAATATTTATAACATTTCACCAGTGAACACGCACTTCTGATAGAACCATCTTTTAAGATTTAACTTCCCATTTTGTTTAGCTACACATTTTGTTCAAGTTAGTTTTACAAATTATTCAAATTGATATTACAGGTTAATTTTCAAGTCACCATTCAGAATCAACATTATTATCTCAAAGCAAGGTTCTAAAAACTTCTCAAACTGTTAATCCCATTTCATTACTATTTACTCCTGGAGTCTATACATTTCTTACACACACACACACACACACACACACACACACACACAAATTTTTAGCCCATTATAGTTAGGATTATAGACTCGATTTTCCCAATTAGATTTGGAGCAGGAGTAATAAAACTTTCAAGTCACTTTTACTACAGCTTATTACAGTTTAGCAGTAAGGCTATAAGAGATCACAACTAAACACCCATTCTGTTACCACCACCTTTTAAGTTCAAATTGCACATTTTGTTGAGATTAGTTTTTATTTCTGTCCTGTCTGTCTTCCATGTTGCTCATGTGGACTCTAATCTGGGAGGACCAGGCTGATTCCTCACTCTTCCACATGCAGCTGCTGGTGTGACCTTGGGTCAGTCATAAGTTCTTTCAGAGTTTGGCCACCTCAGGGCTATATCATGCCACCTTCTCTCCAGTTTGGTGTGGTGGTTAGGAGTGCGGATTGATTCCCCACTTCTCCACATGCAGCTGCTGGCGTGACCTTGGATCAGTTACAAGTTCTTTCAGAGCTGTTCTCTAATGAGCAGTTCTCAAAGAGCTCTCTCAGCCCCACCCACCTCACAGGGTGTCTGTTGTGGGGAGGGGAAGGGAAAGGAACTTTATGCTCAGGGACCTACATACCTGAGGGACCACCTTTCCCCATATGTTCCCCAGAGAGCACTGCGATCAGGGTCCCAACATCAACTGACCCTTCCCAGACCAAAGGATACCAGGCCGGCTATAACCAGGGCCAGGGCTTTCTTGGTGGTGGCTCCTCTCTGGTGGAATGAGCTCCCTGCAAGATGGAGCTCTTCCACCAGTCTTTCAATTAGGAACCACCCCGATGGAGAACCCTGTTCCCTGAAGTCATCAAAACAGCCTGAGCCAACCACGCAATGTTAGATCTGGGTCGACCACTAGGATGGCACACTGAATTTCGACCGCCATCTCAAATTTAATGTTAAATTGTTATTTTCTAATAGCATTAGGATCACCCTCTGTTAGCACCTTTTAATGTTGAGATTGTTTTATATGGTTTTAGGATTATTGATATTACTTACGGTTTTTATTCTTCTGTAAGCCACGCTGAGCCAACCTTGGCTGGGAGGACGGGGTATAAATTTAATAATAAAAAAATTAAAATAAATAAATAAAGGCGTTTGTAAGCTGCTCTGAGACTCCTTCAGGTAGTGAAGGGCGGGGTATAAGTCCAATCTCCTCCTCCTCCTTCTCCTCCTCCTTCTCCTCCTGCTTTTCAAGTGGCAAAAAAGCCTAATGCTGCTCTCTTGCTTCTTCCTCTTTCCTGCCTCTGAGTCTTATGTTTGTTTGTTTTTATCTCACAGGTATCCAGAAATCAACCAATGACTATGCCTCAGTCTACCAAGCCAAAAAGACTGTATCTCTGGAGCATATGGATTCACACTATAAAAGACAAATTCCATACACTGGACAGGTAGGGAACTCTGGAGAACACATTCCATGGGGAAACAAATGCTCTGGCGTTGCAGAAGGCATCTTCTTCTTTGGGTTCTCTCAGGACACGCGGTGACTAATGGCTTGTTTCAGATGGGGTGCGGTCAGATGGCATGCTGACGGCATGCTGAGAACCATCTCTGCTCCGGTTCTAACTGGGTTATATTTGATCTGGATAATCGCGATCACACTTACCTCCCTTATCCCGCCTCACCGCGCAGTCATGTCGCTCCCCGGCGTCTACAGTACTGACGCGCGGGAGCGTGTGTCAGCGGGTTTTAATTTTTTCCCCTCAGTTTGTGCCTGCACATAGGTGCCCCTCCATAGAAGGGGGGGGGAAACTATCATGGCGCATGTGCAGAACCACCAGGGCGAATCAATCCAAGCCCTCCAACAAAAGACTTCCCTTTAAAAGTTTGACCCGAAAATGGCCTTCGTGAAATCCCGAACTCATCCAAATGCTAAAACAAGTGACCGGTCAGTAGGGATATAGTGCCACAGAGTCCACCCTCCCAGGCAAACCGGTTTCTCCGGAACAAAGTTTGAGTCTCATGGCACCTTTAAGACCGACAAAGTTTTGTGTGCAAGGCACACTTAGTCAGATACAGACATACTTCAGATCAGTATCTGCTGGTTGTCCCTGACCCTAAGAACATCCACTTAGCCTCGACCAGGGCCAGGGCTTTTTCTGCCCTGGCCCCAACCTGGTGGAACACACTCCCATTGGAGAGCAGGGGCCCTGCAGGACCTATTACAGTGCAGGAGGGCCTGTAAAATGGACCTGGTCCACCAAGGCCTTTGGGTGAGGCGGCGGACGTCCAACTATTCCATCTATCGGCCTCCCCTGCTAAACCTTCCATTCTCAAACGACCTGTCATGTGAAGACCCACAGTTTAGTCTGCGGCCTAGCAGCTCCAGTTTTTGTGGCTACCATATCAAAACTGCTGTGCCACCTGTTTTGTTTATAGCTCAGTTTAAATCAGGGGTGTCAAACTCATTTGTTACGAGGGCCGGATCTGACATGGTCGGGCCATGTGTGTCATAAAATGTAACGCCAGGTAGCAGAGATATAAACTTTACAAAGGACACAAACACCAAGGATTTTTTAAAAAAACTTAAAATAAAAAAATGCTTAAAACATTAGCACTCTTGCAATATTTTGTTTATTTAACAGTGTCTGATAACTGACACCTCTTGCTCTGAATTATTGCATCAAAATGTCTGTGCTATTTTAATCTTGAGTATGCTGTTCAGGTGTGTATCCGTAAGCTGCAGACCTACGATGACGCAGGAGCAGCAGAACTGGAAAAAGACGCAGAAGACAGCCAGTTCCACTGCGGGCCTGATAGAAGGGGGGGGGGGGGGGGGGGGGAAGGAGCTGATCCGGCCCTCGGGCCGCATGTTTGACACCCCTGGTTTAAATCTGTTTTAATTATGGATGGTTTTTGTGGAGTGTTTTAATTCTTACTGTGAAATGTTTCAACTTTTGTTGTCATCCGCTTTGAGCCCGTTTGCAGGGAGGGCGGAATATAAACCCAAATTAATAATAAATAAATAACATCTGAAGACGTGTGCATGGCACATGAAAGCTTGTAACTTGAATAAATCTTGTTGGTCTTCAAGGGGCCGCAGGACTCAAACTTTGTTCTGCTTCTTCAAGACCAATGTGGCCACTCACCTGGAGACCAGTTTTTCCAGAGAAACTGATCCCTGTGGTCTGTAAGGCCAGGAGATTCCCCAGACCGCCCCCCCTCCAAGATTAGCAACCCTACTTTTCCCATATTGCTCCTCAGCATTTTGCACTTATTTTCTCCTTTGCAGATACGGCTGAGAGATGAGGATGACGTCCCCATTCCCAAAGGGCTGGTCTTCGTGGAGCTCGAAGGGCAGGTTGTGGCAAACTACACCACAGATGAGAACGGCACTGCTCGGTTTTCCCTTGACACCTCCGGCCTCTTCGAGCCTCGCTACAAACTGAGGGTGAGTCATTGGAAGCTGAGGGTGACCCTGTTGATAATGACTGATAGAAATAAGTCAAAAAGGGAACACAGCGCTGCAGATAACCAAGAAAACAAAATTCACTGTGAAAGAGCAATTTCTAACAATTATATATAAATAAAAGACTTATGCAAGCTTATTTGTCTGATAATTATTTTAAAGTTAAATACAGTATTTAATAGGAAACTTTATAAATTGAAACTCTGAAGATATGTACACAACATGTCTTCAGAAATAAATCTTAAACATACATGTGTACCATGTCAAACGACAAAAGACAAGGTGAAATGCAACAGAATACAAGTCAAACAAGGTTGCTTAACATCATACAAAACAACTCCAGGCAAAATTCAGGAACCAAGATTTGTGACTTGTGTTTTCTGTGCTTTTGGCAAGCAGTGATTTTAACAGCAGTTTATATCAATCTCTTTCTGTGGCTGATATGACTTCCCAGCATACTCAGGTGTCTCCCAGGTAAGGTCATATTTCCAATTGTCATCAGAGTCAACAAGAAGCATTTTCATATGGAGCTCCCAAACTTCATGAAAACTCACACCAATTCCCATACACGAGGAGCAAACAGCTTCAAACTTGGACAAATAAGCTTGCATAAGTATTTATATATAATTGTTAGAGATTGCTTTTTCACAGAGTATTTTGTTTTCTTGATATGACTGATAGGGCAGCTGCCCTCCTTAGGTGGCTGTTTCTGCTCAGCCCATATGCATCCTGTCACACTATTGCCTTCCTCAGAGTAGGGATGCCAGCCTCCAGGTGGGACCTGGAGATCCCCTGGAATTACAGCTTATATACAAACTACAGAGATCAGTTCCCCTGGAAAAAATGGCTGCTTTGGAGGGTGGACTCTGTCCTCCCCAGGCTCACCCCCAAATTTCCAGGAGTCTCTCAGCCTGGAATCTGGCAACCCTACACCCCCATCCCCCACTGGTGGCCAGAGGTACCTGGTAACCTGGGGAATCACCTGCAGGGAGAGCCGTTGGTCAACTGGTCCCGTTGGGAAATACTTTAGTGCTCATATTTCTACCCAGATAATCATGGGATGCTTTACTTATTGCGCTTTCTTTTCTTACCAGATTTTCTACCAGCCAGATCAATGCACTGAGTATGGGTGGCTCGAAACAGAGCAACCGGAAGCCGTTCGCTACCTCTTTCGCTTCTTCTCCCGGACTGACAGCTTTGTGAAGATAGAGCCCGTGTTGGAAGAACTGAAGTGTGGCCAGCAAAGGCCAGTGACTGTCCACTATGTCCTCAACAGAGATCGCCATGAGGGGACGACCATCAGTCTTGACTTCTTTTACATCGTAAGTGCAGAAAGACTGAATTGCTTGTTTCCCCCTGTCCCTCTTCACTGAATACTGGATAAGTGCAGAATTCTCTATAGCTTCACATACCAGCCATAGTTGCTCAAATTAATTGGTCTTCTTATCTGGATTTTTTTTTCATTTTTAAATTTAATTTGCATTATTGCATTATGTATTAAGCACTTACAATTTGAGCATGGTACAAAGTATAAACAGGTCCCTACCAGAGTCTTCTGGGGCAGTGCAGTAGCTATTTATTCTACTTTGTTTACCCGAAAGGAAGACAATCCTGAATGTACAATGACCCCCTTAAAAATGTTATACACACACACATAAAAATATTGTAAAGCATAACTGTAACTTGCGTATGAAAGTAAGATGACCCCCCTCTCTCTTTTTTTTGGATAATAGTACTTGTGAAAAAACCCCTACGTTTTGCATCTGAATACTATGCATTGCCTCTTTGGGTTTTTTGGTTTCGGTTGTTGATATGTAAACTGCTTTCTGCAGTTGCCATTTAAAACAAGAAAAAAGGAAGTTGCTGCTATTACACCATTATACATTATTTCTACATCCACTGGTATCAGTTAGGAGAAGGAGATAAATGATCATAAGGAGTAGACACTGAAGGCCTACAGAGACATCTAAATAGCAAGTCTCAATTCAAATGGAATGTTTTCCTTTTAACTATGCACAGAAGTGTGCAGCGGGCAGGTTGCTGTGAAAAAGCACTAAAATTTATTTATTGATTGATTTGATTTATACCCTGCCCTCCCCACAGGTGGGCTCAGGGTGGGTGACAACACAAAAAAGACCAACATAGGTCAATCATTTTAAAAACTCTAAGAAAACCATTCCAAATTCCCTAATAAACAAGATGGCATTCCAAAAACTTGTGGTGTCCTGGATCTGTTTCCATTAGAGAGGATATGGAACTAGGGGTGTGCATTTGGTAAAGCAAAACCGAAAAAACCCTGAAAAAATTATTTTCAGTATTTTTCAGGTATTCAGCAAGCCGAATCAGAATCTCTGATCTGATCTGGCTGCCAAATACAGAATGCCGAATAAAACCCCAAAATCTTCGGCTTTATCCCCCCCCCCCCAGCATTACCGAATACAGGCTCTGGGGGTCTAAAGGGCTGCCCTCTTTCCTGCCATTTCTGTCTCTTTCCTGCCCTTTGCTCTTCTTTCTAGAAAGAGTGGTGGCAGACATAAAATGTTTGTAAAAACTGGTACTTAACCTAGTCTAGAGGAGTGGGAAGGAGAGCTTGTGTCCTGACGATCTTTGATACTGGTGCTACATACCTGCTGTGTAGTGATGCTGAAGACTGCACTAAGATACTGGAGCAGGATTCAAGGATTGTGGCAGAGCTGTGTGGGGAACATGGGGCTGGGATAGTGGGAAAGTGGTGTGGCACATCATGTTTGAAAAGCTCTGAGCACTGCCAATGGAATTCTGGGACATTTAAGGTCTCTGTAAGGTGAAAAGGGGAATCTGTTTATAACTTTGCCTTTCAATCATCTTGTGACCATGAAAAGAGGCCCCCAAACACAGTGCTGTATGGAAACTTTTGACGTTCCCCCACTGTCTTCTTTCTAACAGTCTCATTTCTCTGTTTCTTACAGCTGGTGACTCAAGGCAAAATTGTGGCTAATGGCAAGCAGCAAGTCAACGTCAGAGGTAAGTGCTGTGATTTTTTACAACAGAGTGTGGAGAAACAAAGGCAAGTAGACTCTGGTGCCTTGGAGACAACCATCACCAGAGCCTGATGTCTTCAGCACTCAGTTGAGCGATAATTGTCAAGGCACCAAATGGCTCATCCCCATCTAGTCAGAATGAGAGTTTCATCTGCATAATTTCAGGGTAAATCTAGAGGTTCTTCCTCAATTGAAAAATCTGGTGAATTTCAAGGGAACAAGAATTTCAGTAGGACTAACCCTAAACCTTATTCGGAATGGGGTTGGAGCTGTACTTCTACCATATCCAGTCACAGCCTTTGCTGGATTTGCTGAAAGGGGGGGGGGGGGGGGGGGGGGGATGGGATCATTAAGGCCAGTTATCCATACAGATGTAAAATTTCCAGAAATGTTGAAGCCATCAAAAAAACCTGGTTCCCCCACACACACCATTTTTCCGTTTAAAAATAAATAAATTTGGAGTTATGCAATACCAGTTATGCATAATTTGGAGTTATGCAGTCGGGGACACAACATCTCCTGGCGATACCAGGCCCCAAGGAGGCCAGGCTGGCGGCTACCAGGGCCAGAGCTTTTTCGGTGGCGGCTCCACCCTGCGGGACCTTCTGCAGTTCCACAGGGCCTGTAAGACGGAGCTCTTCCGCCAGGCTTTCAAGTAGGAGCCGCCACCACTACTGCACCATCGTTATGTTCCATCAGTATTGTCTGGCCCTGGGAAGGGGGAACGGCAGTGTCGCGTCGAACTGAGAGCATTGAGTAGATGTGCCATCTTGTAACGTCATCTTTGTGGAAGATCAGACTGGAACAGCTAGAGCACTTATCTTGATGTATGTAGTAAGGATTTTATATGGTTTTAATTTGTTTTATGTGTAGGCGTATGCCTGATTGTGAGCTGCCCTGAGCCCGCGCTGCGGGGAGGGCAGGCTATAAATTGAACTCATAAAAATAAATAAATAAATAAATAAATACTTGCTGTCCTGTCAAACCTAAACTAATTTTACTGCTTTAATAACAGAAAATGCATTTTTATGACATAAAATTGCAATATTTGCAATATTTATGGAATTTAAAAGTTATAAATGCCTTAAATTTCTATAAGCAAAACTGAAAATATACCCAATGCATAAGAGAAAACTGCAAGCTGATGCACCTTAAGCTACCTTAGCCCAAATGCTATTATTTTTTTCTGTCTGAAAAGTAAAAAAACGAGTTAGACAGAAAACACAAGCTTTGTGCTAAATAACATAAAATGTGTTATTGGTCAGAAAAAAGGTCAGTAATGATGTTTGTACAGCTTAGGTACAGTTCCAGCTATGGTCAGGAATACCTTCTGCACAGCTAGATGTGATTCCAGCTAGAGACCGTCTTTTTTGTTCTACAGCTTCTAGTTAGAAAGAGCTCAGTTCTCAATGAAACTTTCAGTTTTCCTCTGACGCTTCGGTGCCATTTCTGCCCTACCTCATTTTAATCTTTTTTTCCGCTCCAGCAAGATAGGGTAACAAGTAGGGTTTCCAATCTCCTGGTGGTGACTGGAGATCTCCTGGGATTACAACTTCTCACTAGGCAACAGAGATCAGTTCACCTGAAGAAAATGGCTCTCTGGCATTATGCTCCATGGAAGCCCCTCCCCTCCCTAAACCCTGCCCTCCTCAGACTCCACCCCCCCCCCAAAAATATTCGGGTATTTCCCAACCCAGACCCGGCAACTCTTGCAATAAGCTACTTGGTACCCAGTCTATGGGTGTATGTGTCATAGTGTTTTGAGGGGGAGGTGAAAGGGTCAACTGCTCTTCCACCAGGCTTTCAACTAGGAGCCGCCCCCACCATCACCACCAACTCTCGGCCACAGTGGCTGACCTGTGTGAAGAACATCGAGAAACTGAAAAACTTACAAAACGTTTGCTGTCTTGAACAATTAGCGAAACATCAACAGCACTTATTACTTGTTACTATTATTATTGAAATTGAATTGTTTTATGTTGATTTTATCAAATTTTAATTGCTATCTGTATATTATGTAATATGTCTTAATGAATGTAAGCCGCCCTGAGCCTGCTTTGCGGGGAGGGCGGGGTATAAGCTGAATAATTAATAAATAAATTAAATACAAGAGAAGAGTCAGGTCAAAAGTGCCACAGAAGCCATGAAAATCCACTCCCATGAAGATCGCTATCCTAGGTGTAGAAATGCATCTTGTATTTAAGAGCTGGATACGTCTACAGCATGCCCACCACATCTTCAGAAATAATTCATTCATTGTAAAAGACAACATATTCGTAGAAGTGTTTTCCATACTCCCCCAAATTTCCCATTTTTCCATTGGAAAAATTGAGAAAAGGGCCACAAGGGGGGGGGGGGG